ATATACTTATTGAAAACAAGCTACAAATGTAATACCTTGGAAATGCCGTTTAATACTTTTTAATAGCCTTCATTTTCGCTAAATTGATTTATCAACTTGTAAAAATAATTAAGACCCCGCGGACACCCTGTAGCTGCTGTCTCAGACCTGACAGAGTTTGTCAAAATAACAAAAAAAGGTTATCCTACGACAAAGCTTCTTCTATGTACAAAGGAATACCACAAGAAAGCATGTTCTAATGAATTGATTCACAGGAGCACAGATAGTGCCTCCAATAGATCAAAATCTGTATACTAGTGTCTTTTAATATTGTTTAAAGTGCAGTCCCTGAGGACTTTAGAAAAAACTAAAGATCAGGATTTCCAACTGAATAAATCAATAGTCACTGCAACATAGCATTTCTTTGGTTTCTTTTCTTTATTTCAAAGACACTTTAAGGAGGCTGTGCTCAAGTGCATCTGATTTTAAATTAAGAAAGAGTTATGACAGCTGCAGAGAATGTGGGATATTCTTCAAAGAAAAGCAGACTGAATATCTGAATCTAAATAAGTGTGTCCTCGAACAACAGTTACTGCTGTTGAGAGAATACACCACTCACTCTAAGAATAGCATCCTGGATTCTCAAAGATTGCCTAAATTATGGATTTTAAAACGTACCTTTGCTTTTGAATGCTCACCAAAGGAAATGGGGAAAAGTCAATATCAAGTGACCAAGGCTACACTTTGTCATCTACTGCATTTCTTTGATCTCTGTCTTTAGCTACAATTAATCAATTTCTCCAACATTCTACGTGTCCTCCATTGTTTTGCTCTCCAAGCATCCCTTTCTGTTCCCGCTCTCATCCATTCCTCGGCCCTCTGCCTGCCTCTGATGGTTATAGATCGGATACGAGGCAATTAAAGGTTGGTAGGGGCTGTAGGGGCTCTGGCGCATCCCTGGGAGACGGCACAGATCACAGATTGATCTTTCATTAGGGGGCCACGGCAAATGTGCCGGCAAGGCACCTCGCTCCTTTAAGTTGTCTTCTGGATCGTGACACTCCAATCTAATGTGTCTCTGCCAGCTGGTAAAAGGGGAGCAGCAGAGAGAAGGACGAGATAAAGTGGGCTGGAAACAGGATTTAGCTGCAGAGAGTATAGAAACAGCAGCAAACCCTCTTCAGTTAGCACGACACATGTTTGAAGCACAGGCAGTGGTTCCTTTGCAATGAAGTGAGAGTGCCTGGGTGTGCACAGAATACAAACTCGTTCATCATTAAGAAAGTAAGCTGTTTCAGTCATGTATGTTTGAATTCCAGTGTAATGCCTTTTGCCCTCCAGAGTGTGTGTGTGCAGCCAGCTCTCTGTTCTTATTCTGGGTGTGCTCCACCTCCGGGCTATAGCGATGTTAGCGTGTAGTGCAGCAGCATGCCAAATGCACTGGTGGGCCATTGCATGTGTTTCACCTGCAAGGACAGTCAGCTGAAGTTGAGGAGCTAATAGGGTAGGGATTACACTGAGGTCATTAGCCACAGTGGCTGAAGCACAAGCCTAAAAACTTTCCTCAGGGCAGATCCACAGGGACCTCGCACACGTTCCTGGTGCAGTTCCATAACACGTGCAAGAATAAGAATAATCAAATAGTAATAACTCCCAAGGAAGTAAGTAAATTGATTGAACATGCAATTATATAATAATAATAATAATAATACATAATATTTATATAGCGCCTTTCACGAAACCCAAGGTCGCTTTACAAGTCGGGTAGGGGGGGAGTAGGGGAAAAGAGACAGACAGGNGAGAGTTCCAGAGGGTGGGGGATGCTACACTGAAAGCTCTGTCACCGAAAGTCAGCAACCTGGTGCGGGGGGTAGAGAGGAGATATACAAATGTATTTCAATATGTGCAACGTTAGGTTTTTGGAATAGTTCAATTGGAGCCCCTCTAAAATGTGTGGACTTTTTCGTTTAGCAGCTCACCTGTACCTCGAGAGCTGTAAATGCTATAACGTGTTATACTGTAGGTAGTTCTGGTAATTAGCCCTTTGCCAACTGAACACAAATCACCCCACATGAGCTTCGTGTCAAGACAATGCAGAGGTTTAAAAGCTAAAGGCTGATTAAAATATGTAAATTCCGTTAACAGTTTGTCCAAGGTTTTAAAAAGTTCATTTATATTGTAATGGTTGCAGGGTTCTCTCTTTTCCTTCCAAAAACACACATTTGGACATGGCCAGTGTCCTGCCTTTTTCATATTTGTTCACCACTAACTTAGTGTTACTTCCTGAAATTCCATATTGGATTGCGATACGTTGGGGGGATGTAACATATATACACTGTGTTGGTAATAGGGCTATACGATATATATATATATGTTATCGTGACGATAACCGCGATATGCGCAATATTCACATCGCAGGACGTGACTGTTAAAAAAAAAAAATGGTGGAATCTGTTTCTGATTTACTCATGTTCGTCTGATCTGTTCATTATAAATCTAGGAGGTACAGCAATGCCAGGGAGAAACTGTGTTTTACAAACCTGGATTCCTGATCCTTCGGGGACCGTGATCTTCCAGACACAGTTGAGGCTGTTGAGGTAAGGCTCAGGAAAGCCAGGAGATAAGATGGTGCCGGTTCTTTGGGTCAGATTACCTCCACATGGAACTGCAGGGAAAAAGGAACATTATCAAACACTTTGAACACATCCCGTTGAAGATTTGTTCCTTAGTGGTGAATTGAAGGACCACATCTCTACGGCTTCACTCCCTGCATTCCTAATAATAATAATAATAATACCCAACTAACCCTCTCCCTTTGGGTGTGTTTTTCTCTCTCGCTCTCTCTCTCGCTCTCTCTGTGTATCTAATTCCTCCTCTAATAAAAAGTCTGGAAGGTGGTTTGATGCAGAATCTCTACCAAAGCTTCCCCAAAACCCAAATAGTAAGCAGAATAGGATTGTGATTATTCCTAATTAGATAAAAATGCGTCTAATTCATGGTGCGGCCCTTGCTACTGAAATTGAAAAATGATAAGCAGGATACAAGGACATAAGACACGGCCACACAGAAGAGAACATGCACATTATACATGATACGCTTTGTTTACAGTTTTCATCTTCTTCCCAGGTTGTTCCTCACATTCACACATCTGCTGACAGCATAGGAGCATCTGTTACAGCTGTATGTACGGGGTGATGGAGTGTTCCTTTGAATATACATGCGGGTATTGCCATATGAGAGCGTGTGTGTGTGTCTGTGTGTGTTTGTGACTCTCAGCGGTGCCTGCCACCTGCGTGCTGCATGGCTGGATCTTGCTGTATCGCTGGAGGCAACGGCAGACAGCCCACATCTGGGTCGTAGTAACGAGTTTGACACTCAAGGCATGGAGTGGGAGGAACACAAAGATAGCGGCAATGGATGGAAATAAAGAAAGTGAAGAAAAGCAAACATAGGAAGAAAAAGGCAAGCAAAACAAACACATGCTGACTGGTGAGTGTTCGTGACTGCTGGCTGTATCAGTGCCTACCTATACAGCTGGGTATGGTGGTGTTCCATTGTGCCAGGGCGTTGGGAACCGTCAAGCATTCGATGGCACTCGGCCCCTCCAGCGTATAACCCGGAGTGCATTCAAAGCGGACCGCAGCGCCAACGGCAAAGTTGTTTCCCATACGGCGGCCATTCCTGGGCTCAGGGACGGAGCTGCACTGGGTGGCGCTGGTCTGTGGCACAGCTTTGGAGAAAACAGTGAAAAATAGGCTGATTACAGGTGTGTTCATTTTAAATCATTATCTGTGACATTTACAACCAATCATTAGGCTGTTTTGCTTCTCTTCGACTGATTATAGCCATTACTCGTAATTATTTGTATACTTTTTTAATCATTTCAAAGCTTGATCAATGGAGGGATTTGTTAGAAAAGTTAGAATAGGTGTAATTTTCAGATTAATCTCACTGTGTCTGATATAATTAATGCAAAATATAATATTCAGCTTCTCTTTGCCTTGTGCTTCCCTCAGCTTACTTACAATAGACACTAAAGCTGAATTATTTATTCATTAAACTTTCTCCTGAGCTGCCATTGCCTTTGGATATCTGCAGCAAATGTCATTTCTGGTACAGTGCATTGTGTAAGGAAAGTAAGCAGTTCAAGAGAAAAAGTCCCTCGTGGGGGAATAGAAGAATGGGGGGAGTTTAAGCACAACCATTTGAACAGACTGCTATACTTCTGCAGTGTTAATGCTTCAGAGCACACACTGCTGCAGACACACACATACACATACACATACACATACACCCACAAGCACATTAAAGCTAAAATAGTAGCTGAAAGTGAATACTTTGGAAATCACTAAGCAAGACAACTATTATGGGGGGGGGGAATTGGGCTGTTAGAGCAGAGGGAATCCAGGAGGAAAACAACAGTAGGGTTTGTTTGTGTGCCTGTGTTAAACACTTACCCTGGTAGACCAAGTGGAATCCTCTGGAGCTCGATTGGCCTTTGGAGGTGAAGCGGATTAGAATTTGGTTGGAAGTTGCTAATGACAATGACTCGCCTGAAATAAGATAAAAGATAAAAACAGAGTTTGTAACATTTTAGCAAAGTGCTGAATTCCATTTATATTTATGTGGGCACATAACCTGTGTCTAGCAACCTAATTGCTATTGATTTTGTGTTGTCATGTTTAACTGTTTGTGCTGATTGTATGCTTAACATTATTTTGTGTTCATTTTCCTTTTTTGTCCTTCTTTTAATGATGCTGCTCTACTCTAAGGTTGGTTTCTTGTGCAGCTGTTGATGCTATTTGCTTTACCCTGTTCTAGTTCTATATGTTTTGTGTTGTATTTGCAGAGGCACATATTCATTTGAATTGTCCCTGAGAATAAATAAGTAAACTATCTAATCCGCTTCATTGTTAAATAACTGTTATTTTCCAAATCCGTCTGGAGAAATAAAATGTATTTGTGCATTTTAGAATGTCTATCTGTGAGTGCAGCACTACTCTTTCAAGTGGTAAGAAAATCGGCTAATAATTGTGTGAAGAAGGGCATCATGCAGGTCTCTGAATATGGATATAATTAGAAGCTATGGTCTTGTATAGCATGGCAATAAAGTGTGAAAAACCAGTGTTTGGATATCTGATGTCTGTGAAAATCTGCTGTTTAGTTAGATTCACAGAAAATACAACATGCTTATAAGGCTTCCTGAGGTATACCAAGCAAATCCTAATATGCAAATGCGTTGCTTTTTACTAAGATTATCCTCATATTCTACTGTCATACAGGATTACGTATATTTGCTATGCTTGTTGGATGGCAAATAATTTCCTTCAGCCTCTTCAGACCAAATGAAGTCCTGATTATTGCCACTGATACTAGTGTGCTACAGCTGAGCCTCTGACCACAATCTGCCCACATCAAGTACTGTTCAGGGAGATTACAGTTGAAGCTGCATTTGATAAATTTGTTTTTCTCCCAGCTCAGAATCATTATTATTTCAAGGTTCATTTCTTTGTTTTGCACCAGCTGGACTTGTGTTACCCTCGGTTCACAACCCTAATTAACAAATCATTAACGCAAGAATTGGAAGCTGGTTTAAAATCATGCAGCGAGATTCTTAAGTGCTGTAGAACCAGCTGCCGAGATCAACCCCCCCCCCTGATTGTACTATTTCACTGCCTGTGTATACAACAGCAATCTTTAGGGGTGGGTTAACTACCTGCAGTGCAACACCCTTCACAATCAAGCCCCTGCCTACAATAGGAACGTGCTAACAGCATACTGTGCAGGCGAGACAATAATGTCACCTGACCAGTTCTTAGAAGATGTCCATTTAATAATAATAATAATAACGCATTTATTTTATATAGGCGCCTTTCAAGGCTCTCAAGGTCGCCGCACAAACACATAGAAAACAAGATACACAATACATAACACCTCATCCATTCCTCAGCCCTCTGCCTGCCTCTGATGGTTATAGATCGGATCATTTGACACACTCAAGACCAAGAATGACCATGTTTGTGTTGTTGTAGCAAGTTTTGAAACAGGAAATGTGTTATTTTGGGTTTCTGTTTGTTGTTGTTGTAAATGGCATTTAAAATAAGTGTTCAGAAATAGCTTTTTTTGTATTATCTTAGTTTTTGTGTATGGATTTAGTCATGTAATTAAAATGCAGCTTGTTTTGCCCTACGAGGTCAATGGACAATTTCAGTACTTTATGTTCACTATGTAGACCCTCCAGAAAAACGCGGGCTAAATTCCTTGATTATGTGATTAAACATGCAGGGTTTTTATGTGATTTTATGCGGTGAAATTGCGGGAAGTTGCGAAATATGCGGAAAGTTGCGAAATATGCTAAATATACGGGAAAAAAGAATAACAATTTTTTAAAATATTGGGCTGTCTTATTTATTCTCTCTCACACACAACCTGCCACTAACGTTAAACCCCTTTACTATTCAATTAAACACATTCAATGTTTATTTATTGTAAAAGCAATTGGGCTTTTTTAATCTCACACACACACACACACACACACACACACACACACACACACACACACACACACACACACACACACACACACACACACACGCTATTTTGCAAGCACTAGCTTATCTGATCCTCTTATAGACTTTGCTGCCGGAGAGCGCCAAGATACCACTATTAGGCGAATAGCTGCGTTGTACACACATCCCAGCTCAGAGTTGTTGATACTCTTCCAACTTTAGCTGAGCATTGCTCTAATAAGCACAGAGCTAAAGAGAAGTTATCAGCGTTCGTTTCCCTGTGACCCTTTTCTGTGTGTCAGCTGTTTCTCAGATGTGGACAATATAATATAACTGCACTTATCCCTTTTTAAATGTGCAGGCGTTACCTCAGTTTGAGCTTAATCCTCTTTGTTGCAACTTGTATGATACCTGTTCAGCACTTTTAAATCGTGTTGTTGATAAACCATTATGAACTCATTATGTATCATGTATGCTTTGTTGGTGTGTGTATTGGTTTCGAATGAGTGTGGGCATGTGTAGTACTGTCTTGATATTACATTATCAGCGTGACACCTATAGAAAAAAAAAAAAGTTTTCAATTAATTAATTTTTAACTTTGTTTATTGTGAGTTTTTTTCTTTTTGGCTAATGGATTGCTCTCAAATCAGCAATGTAGCGATTCGAAGAGAGTTTGTGTGTGTGTGTACCTGTGTGTGTTAATTATCCAGCTATTATTTGCTCATCAGCTCACTACAGGGAAGTAAATTGCCTTAATGGAGCTGCAGCCAAGTGGCTCAGTGGGGTGGTGTCCCTGATTTAAGCTCCCCTGTTTCACTGATCCCCTTTTGTGTTTTTATCTTTTATCCTCCAGGGTTTGTATATGTGGTTACCCACGGCAACAGCTTCGGCGCTACAAAGGCATTAGCACACGTCTGACAGTCACATCAGAGTTCCTGGTTCAGCTCATCACGGGGATACACTACGCCTTGTGAGTGTAAAGACATGCCTGCACAAACAGCCAGATGAACACAACACTGACTCACTGCTGCCAATACTCAGTCTATCCTTTTTTAAAGAGGTCTTATTAAGATTTTTCTGGGTTTTCCATTACCTGTAGGTGTATGTGCATGTAAATGGTCTGCAAGGACTAAACTTCAAAAGTTCGCTCTGTTGGGATGACAGTATTTAATATGTCGCCATAACAGTATTCAATTTTTTTTAATTATGCTCTAAAAACCTGGATAACAGAAGTTTGACTGGGACAATCATTGCGCCTGCCCACTTTGTATTTTCAGTGTTTCTACATATTAAATTGCTGTATTGCATTTTTTAAATGTCTCGACATCTTTATCACAAAATGATATAGGTAGCACATTGATGTTCACAAGCTTGCAGTCGTGTTCCCTGCCTTTGCTTCTTATTGCTGCACCGCCTGTTGAGCTCTTAAATGTTGTGACATCATTGCTACGACTGTGTTTAATTTGCACAGTCAACTGGCACAAGATAAACAAAGCAGGGACCCACTCAGAAACTCCATTGAGCTACTAGAGGTTTAATATAACCTAGGGAGTAGGGACCCTTTGATCTGTATCTTAAACTGTGAATGTGTTGTGCCTGTGTATAGGTGTAGTGGGGAGGTTGATCTTGGGTCCAAAGCACTGGATGACGTTCTGTATCGGGCCCAGCTAGAGTTACTGCCTGAAGCTCTGTTGGTGAGTACACTGAGGTTTTCTTCTTCTCCTTGCACATCCTCCCTTCTGTATCTGTGATTTTGGACCTGTAGAGTGTGGGTGTGTTTGTGTGTGCTTTTGTCTGAGACTGAGCATGTTATTCCGACGCACATGTCCGCCTGTGGTTTTGACTCATGCACAGCACACTATGCTGCATTGTGTCGGTTCCTGTGTGTGTCAGAGACTGCAAGCAGAATGTAATCCCACTAGATTATTTACATGCTTTCCGCTCTGCTCCGTTAAGCTATAATCCGTGAGGCCCGGGGAGTACAGGGTTGAACGTAAGCTCACAGCAATACTACACAAGTCAAGGTGTGCTCCTCCGCAACAATCAAAACACAAAACCTTTGGTTTTCATATTAATAAAATACATATTAATTTTCATTAAAAAAAAAAAGTTTAGACACATGCCATGAACACAGTATGGCTTTTTTGATATGATGAAAAACGTGCAATAAAGTAATTGAAATGCAACAAATTGCTTCTTAAAGGTGGGGTAGGTAATTCACTTCAGAAACACTTTTTGTTATATTCCATGGAATGCTCTTGACATCCTGATAGCAATGAATACATGAAATGCTTTGACAATAAATTCATTAAAAAATGTCATCTGTGGCGCTGTAAAAAGCCGGCCCGGCTAAAATAATGCCTGTCAGCCTTCCATCTTGTGCACGATTCGATTTGTGATATTTGTTTTTAAGCGACCCAACGGAAGTTTATTGTAAAATGCGGCCATATCTCCGGCTAAGAAGGTCGTATCAACCTGCTCCCGTCTCTAGCACGGGGGTGCTAGAGACGGGAGCAGGTTGATACGACCTTCTTAGCCGGAGATATGGCCGCATTTTACAATAAACTTCCGTTGGGTCGCTTAAAAACAAATATCACANGTGTGCCTTGGCAGTCTCAGCCTTCGCGTCGAAAGGAGCCAGTTGAGGTGGTTCGGGCACCTAGTTAGGATGCCACCTGGGCGCCTCCCTAGGGAGGTGTTCCAGGCACGTCCAGCTGGGAAGAGACCAAGGGGTAGACCTAGAACCAGGTGGATGGATTATATCTCTTCGCTGGCCTTGGAGTGCCTTGGGATCCCCCAGTCAGAGCTGGTTGATGTGGCCAGGGAAAAGAAAGTTTGGGGCTCTCTGCTGGAACTGCTACCTCCGCGACCCGACCACGGATAAGCGGGAGAAGATGGATGGATGGATGGATTATCTATCAAACACCAAATGAAAAACAACAAAAAGTGAACATTCACATAATTTCTGATTTGTTTTTCACAGTTTACCATTGGAAGCAATTCAGTTGATTTAAAGTTGCACAGCCCTGGCCACATCATCATCAAAACCATAGTTAAGAAGTTTCTAGAAATGTTGTCTCTATTCTAGCTCAAAGCCCAAACCGTAATGTACTTTTATTAGTGAACGTAACTATAATTAAAGTGTTATCCTTTTTATTTGCAATTTCATCTTAACTAGTCCCTAAATTAGGTCAGATTTGCCTAAATATCTCTCTTTTGCAAAAAAATTGGATAGATCCACAATTTTGGAAGATTTGAATGAAGCAATAATGTAAGAGAACAGAGAAAAAGGATACCTAGCGTAAGGGTCAAAGTGACAAGGTGAAAGAGACCATATGATGTATTTTTACAATTGCGTTGTACAATTGCAGATTCATGTGATAAATGCCACAGCTGTGTTGATTGGCTGGTCAATAAATAAATAGAAGCCTGGATAGGGGATGTTCAACCTTTCTGGAGTGGTGCAGGTGGAAGGTGTGTGAGTTGAGGGCAGCTCTCCATCTCCACCTGCCCTAGCCCTGTGGCTTGACAAAAGCAAAAAATGATTACTCTGGTTTGTGCCCAGAGCAGCTTCAGAAAATCCAGTTTACAGCTCAATAAACAGGCCGCTATATTAACTGAGGACTCCTGGCGGCAGGTTCACAGAGCTCTCTAACCAGGCATGGCAGAGCAGAGCTGACACACTTTGGCAAGGGAAGAGAGACTTACAGCCCAGCAGGCTGAAGAACTAGTGCATGCAGGCATAACTAGCCTGAATTAGGCATAATCCAGAAGTGTGTACCTGGCATCCACCATACAAATACACAGGCGCTAACATATCGACTAACATACATGTTTGCAAACTTAATGAGCATGGAATTAACCAATACAGTCTAACAATGCAAGCAGTCATTATAAGCAGGGCTGCACATAACTGGTGTGCAGGTGCGAGAAGGGAGGGAGAAGAGAGGAGAGAGAAGAGAGAGAAAGATATATGCGAGTTGCATATGAACTCAGGGCCGGCCCGTAGCACTGGCGTTATAGATGTTCGCCTAGGGCGCCAGATCTGGGCAGGCGCTGCGCTGACAGCTCTGGGAGGGAAAAAAACATTTTTGACCGTTGGGGCTCATCCTAATTTTCAGCCTTGATGTAACAAAATTCATAATTAAGTAACTGTAAAACCCTTTTCACCCCGGTTACACTTTTAATTTGCCCTGTACGATGGGCGCTGTAAGTGATGAAAATGGGGGATGTTGGCTTATCTGGCGCCCGCAGCTCACAGCCAAAGTGTGAGGGAGAGAGGGAGGGTGCACCGGTACCGGGGCCCTTCTCACTTCTCTTATTTTTCATTTCCTCGCTCCTCGGTTTCGGTCTCACCGGAAGTTGATTTGTCTGCGCCATCTTGAGTATCGTCCCAATGGCCTTATTTTTGCCGGAGGAGCGAGGAGACCATCAGACCATCCTCCGATGAAATCCTCAGACACTCGCCCAGCCCCTTACTGTGTATCGCTCACTGATTGGACGATGCAGCGCATGCACTCATCTAATGCTTCTTGACATGAGAGCAGTTTCCCAGCGGGGTGAAGAAAATACATGAACCTCACGGGACTCACTCCTCAGTTTATACCGTGTTTTGTTTCAATTCATGTATCATTTAGTTACAAATAGGCCTATGTGATATATCTGAACAACAAAGTGGTCAAAAATCATTTTATTCATTTTTTGGAAACATTTTCATGATCGCTTTTTTCGTTTTACATTTTCATTTATTGTCATTTCCATTCAGTCAATCATTAATTGCTATTTAAAATGTTAATTTGCTACATATCCAAACAGACAAAGTGTGCAATCCAATTAATGTTAATCTAACTGGGTTTTGATAGATAACATATCTCTTTTTCTTCTCTCAATTATTTTATTTATTTTGTGCACTCTAATCAATATTAATCATATTGTTCGTTTATACATTTTAAGAATGGCGTTTATCTTTTTTGAGAATTAGTTCTTATTTTATTTTTATTTATTTGGGTCTACAACAGATGATACAAATGTTTGTGTCAGTAAATGTGTACTAACAGAGGCGGGGGTGTGTGTGGAAATAACAGGGACAGAGCTGGCTGCTGTCAGACGATCAGCTGTGCAGCGTCATCACAAACGGACGTCGCTTCACGTGACGCTCCGGAGGAAAGGAAGTCCCATTGCTCTTAAAACTAATTTCCCTGCTTCTCGTGGTTTCCTTGCATCTCTCCATGCTTCCCTGGTGGGAGGGACTAGTGCATTACATGTTACTTGTTAGACGCTTTTATCCAAAACGACTTACATACTCAATACTGTGGACAATCCCCACAGGAGCAATTTGGGGTGAAGTGTCTTGCCCAGGGACACAATGACATGCTGACTGCAGTGGGGTTTGAATCTGTGCTCCCCTGATCCCAACACCAAGGCTCTATCCACTGCGCCACACGCCTCCTTTCTCAGGGAAACGACGCAAGTGAGGGACGCAAGGAATCCATTTAACCGAAGTGAGAGGGGCCCCCGGGCCCTTTCTCATTTCTCTAACCCCCCTCCTCGACTCCTATCCTCAAGGCTTAGTCCCGCCCACAGGAGATCAGATCCAACCAACCACAGGATACGAGGAATTATGACATTAATATTGATTTATTTTGACAACCGGCGCCATTAAATTAAAGGGGTATCATCGCTGGTCTCTCCCCCCCCCCCCCCTGATATATAGGTCAGAGACTATGCACAATGCAAGTAATACTCTCACGAGACAAACTAGACTTCCTACCAATTATATAAATATTTTATATATTATATATATAACACACACACACACACACAACACCACACACACGGCGCACGCGCACACGCGCCACAAAGGTGTAGACGATTGGACAATACCAGAGTAATATGGCGTGACACTTAATTAATTTTCATTTATATTCAGTAGTACTCACGACGACACGGAGGACAAGTGTAATTACCTGCAGAGAAATTTTGCCTGGCGAGTTCTCCTCTCCTGCCAAGAGTAAAGAGATTGGCGGACGAACGAGGGGAGGAAGAGGAGCCGGAAGGGGGGGGGGGGGGAAAAAAAAAAGAAAAAAAGGGGGGGGGGAGCCCCGAGGA